CTCTCTCTTCAAAAAAAAAAAAAAAAAGAAAATCCCTTTTATTTACTGATTTTAAAAAGCTGCAAAACAATTAATTTAAGAAAAAATTGTGGGGCCAGCAGGTGACATGGTGGTTAAGGCTGTTGGACTCCCACATGGCCTACTACAGTTTGACGGCTTGCTTTCTCACTCTCTCTCTGGTCAAATTAAAATAAATAAATAAAGTCAAATAATTATTATTATTTATTTTTGGAGAGGTTTTTGCTATAGGGCGCGTGTACTCGTCAGACAGACAGAGAAGGACAGAGAGATAGAAAGCGAGAAATCACCTCCCAGAGGGGATGGCCACGCCGCAATCCCTTCTCCTCCATTCTCCTCTCAGGATCTTGGGCACGCATGCACATGTGCCCGGCGTGAGTTTTAAGCCACCGGGTCCAGGACGCGAACCATGGTCGACTACGTGGGAGTCCAGCGACATAGCCGTTATGCTAACTGCTGGTCCCCAAATAATTATTTTAAGAAAAAGACAAAATTGTAAGAAAGAAAGCTCTGGGTTCCATAGGTAGAATGTTTTAGAGAAATTTAATGAATTGAATTCTTTTTTTTTTTTTTTTTTTTTAGGGGTTTTTTTTTGAGAGGTTTTTGCCATGGGGCACGTGAGCTTGCCAGAAAGACAGAGAGAGACAGAAAGCAAGAAATCACCTCCTGGGGGTATGGCCACGCCGCAGTCCCTTCTTCCCCACTCTCCTCTTGGGATCTTGGGCACGCATACATACGTACCTAGCGTGAGTTTAAGCCTCTGGGTCCGGGACTCGAACCATAGTCGACTACATGGGAGTCCGGCGACCTAGCCATTATGCCAACTGCTGGTCCCTGAACTTAATTCTTTACAGAAGTAAAGAGCCTACTGCTCAGCCCTCTCTGGTCAGGGACCTAGCTGGGTGTCAGGTCACATGACTAACAGACCTGTTCCCCACCTAGCCCAGGAGTCTCACTGGTCCTGTGTCAGTCTTGCTGGGTACACCCAGGTTCAGCCTACACCTGCAGTAGGTCAAAACAAGATGGGCAGGAAGCAAGGGGGGAACTGGCCTTTGATCTGTCAGGCTCAGCGAACAGGGCCCTCCAGGCAATGTGGCACCATTGCCAGCCCTCAGGCTCAGCCTAACCATTTCTCACCAGAGCCCACCTCTCCCCTCACAGGCTGTTTGACTGGCTGGTGTCGGTGATCAACAGCAGCATCTGTGCAGACCCTGACTCCTGGACCACTTTCATAGGTAACAGGGGCTCGCCCTCCTGAGAGCACCCAGAAAGGAGCAACAGACCCTTGGAGGGAGAGGCAGGGGCCCTGTCCACTGGGTGACTCTGGGCAGCTTCTTTCCCTTCCCTCCAGCCCCTGTCTCTTCTATCACCTACAAGTGACTGGGTGAAATCCTGGTTCTCCAGGGCCCAGTCCGACCCATCTGCAGCTCTCCAGACAGACCTAAGGAGCCTTGTCTATAAGGGTCCCTTTTCTTCCCCGGAGACTGAGCTGCAATCACAGGACAGCAGTGAGGGATGGGTGGAAGGGCTAGATGAGAAGGGACTTGGGGGACATGACTGAGGTCAACGTGGTTTTAACTCTGGGTGGGACAGCTGGGTAGGGAAGGCAGCAAAGCTTAAAAGTACAGTGCAGTTTAGTTTGTTCACGGGATGGCGGGGTCCTAGGCACCAACCAGGCTGGAGACCAAGGCCTGTACACTTAAGATCTGACACGGAAAATGCTCCCTGGGACTCGGCTTCCGCTCAGGAGGGGCCTAGCAGAACCAGAATTCAGACTCAGAAATGCACCTGCTGCCCCGAGCTGCCCCTCACACCTCATTAAGCTGTTCTGCCTACTCTGAGGGGGATGGGGTGGAGCTGAGGACCCTTCTGGGTGGAGGGCACAGGGTGGAAGAGGTGCTGCCACCCACTGTTTGGCATCACACTCAGCCTCATCCCCAGGCTGCCTAGGTTCCTGCAGTCCCTGGCCTCCACCCACTCCCTCAGCAGGCCCATGGGTTCTCTTCCGTCCTCCCAGGGCTGCTGGATGTGTACGGATTTGAGTCATTTCCTGACAACAGCCTGGAGCAGCTGTGCATCAACTATGCCAATGAGAAGCTGCAGCAGCACTTCGTGGCACACTACCTCAGGGCTCAGCAGGTGAGGCAGGGGGGAGGTGGGGAGGGGTCTTGCCCTGCATCCGCTATTTCTTCCTGGCTTTCCAGCCCAGCGGGCTCAGGTTCTGACTGGTATAGCCTTTTGTTTTAGTTTGTTGCTGTTCAAGTTATTTTTAGGTTTCTACCATAGACACATACCAAGTGTACGCACCAGAGAGAGATAAAGAGAGAAATCACCCTCTAGGTGGGATGGCCACGCCGCAGTCCCCTCCTTTTTTACTCTCCCAGGATCCTGAGCACACATGCACATGTGCCCGGTGTGATTCTCAAGCTGCCGGGTCCAGAACTTGAACTGAGGTTGGCCATATAGGAGTTCAGTGCCTTAACCACCAATGCCGCCTGCTTGCCCCTTTCTTAATTTTAATTGACAAATAGTAATTGTATATATGGAGCTGGCCCTCTACCCTAGTGGTGGCCAACCTCATGGTTCAAATCCTGGTCCTAGTGGCTTGAAAACACACTGGGCACATGTGTGTGCCCAAAATTCCAATGGGATGGAGAAATGAAGGGACTGCAGTGTTATCGAGCCTCATTGGGGAGTGTTTTCTCCCGATCTCTCTGGCCAGTAGGTTCCCTCTGGCAATTAAAAAGAAATTGGTAGGGGACCAGCAGGTGGCATGGTGGTTAAGGCGCTGGACACTCCCACATGGCTGACCATGGTTCAAGTCCCAGACCTGGTGGCTTGCTTTCTCACTCCTTCCTCCCCTCTCTCTGTGTCTCTATCAAATTAAAAGTAAATGAATGAATAAATAAAATTTAATAATTATTTTTTTAAAATTGGTAACCATGGGTCAGCAGGTGGTATGGTAGTTAAGGCCTAAATCTCAGTGGCTGACTCTGTGGTTTGAGTCCCAGACCAGGCAGCCTGGAAAATAGGCCAGGAACATGTGCGTGTGTGCCAAAATCCCAAGAGGAATGGAAAAGAGATGGCCAGCATGGCCACCCGTCCCAGGGGAGTGATTTTCACTTCTCTTCTCTTCTCTCTCTCTCCAGCAAGTACAAATGCCCTCTGGCAAAACTGAACAAAATAACAATAAGATAACTGTATATATGGGGTACAGGGGGATGTTTTGATAACCTGTTCCCCTTGGATGCTTTTCTGGAATGTGCTGTGGTGCTGAGGCCGGCCTGGATGGCCCATCGAGACTGCTTCTCTCCCACATCTGCCCCTAGGAGGAATACGCAGCTGAGGGCCTGGAGTGGTCATTTGTCAACTACCAGGACAACCAGACCTGTTTGGATCTCATCGAGGGGAGCCCCATCAGCATCTGCTCCCTCATCAACGAGGTGGGAGGCTTAGCTATGTCAGCTGAGCACAAGTGCCCTTTGAGCTTTCCTGGGGCCCTGATGACCATCCTGACCCCTCTGTGCCTGCTTCTCCTTATCTGCCAGATGGGTTAGCTAGCCTCTGTACCTCTTCCCTGTCGGGGTCACTGTCTTGTCTGTGGGAGTCACTGTGGTGTCTGTGGGAGCCACAGGGTGGGGATGGCAGGGGCTGTGGTGAGACCCTCTCATTATTGGGGCTGACTGCCTGCTGCCACCCCACTGTCTGTGGGAGCCACAGGGTGGGGATGGCAGGGGCTGTGGTGAGACCCTCTCATTATTGGGGCTGACTGCCTGCTGCCACCCCACAGGAATGCCGCCTCAATCCCCAGCTCCAGACGCGCATCGAGAGTGCCCTGGCCGGCAGCCCCTGCCTGGGCCACAACAGGCTCAGCCCAGAGCCCAGCTTCGTGGTGGTGCATTACGCAGGGCCTGTGCGGTACCACACGGCAGGCCTGGTGGAGAAGAACAAGGCAAGCACTGGGCTGCAGCCTGGGGGCCTGATGCTACACACCCAGGAGCTCCCATCGTGCATCCGCTCCCCCTCGGACATCTTCCCAGAATCCAGGGTGACCATCTGGGCCCATCTGTCCAAGGTCTCTGCTAATCAAGCATGACCCACCTGGCCGTGACCCATGGAGCTCCAAGTGTCTGGTCATCCAGCAGACCAGCTCTTCTCCTGTCCTTGGAAGCCTCACCCTCTGGGGGCTTGGGTGGAGAGGGTAGCAGGCCACCTGCTCTCACCTGCCCCCTTGCCCTCTCCCAGTAGGACCCTGTGCCCCCTGAGCTGACCAGGCTGCTGCAGCAATCTCAGGACCCCCTGCTCATGGTGCTGTTCCCTACCAACCCCGAAGAGAAGACCCAGGAGGAGCCAGCTGGTCAGAGCAGGGCCCCCGTGTTGACCGTGGTGTCCAAGTTCAAGGTGAGTCTGGAGTGCTAATGTGAGGTGTTCAGTTCACTGCTCAATCTCATACATGTTTTTTAATGCTGATGCTGTTTACTGGAAGCACTATGGAGTCAAAGAGATGTGGTCCAGTTTCCCCCCACAGCGGGTGTTTCAGTGTGAAGGGCAGAGACAGAAAACCGGTGTAATGGTACTACAGGCTGCAGTGGGGCCGCTCACTCTGCTGAAAGGGTGGTCACAGAACAGGAGTTCATGGACCTCTGGGACCTGGCCCCTTCTCAGCCCTAGCTCCTGCTCAGGCCCTGCTTTCCACTGGAGCAGATCTGTCACCTCGCGACTGCACACACCATGCTACTTTTAGTTTACCCCTCTCCATCCACCAGGCCTCAGTGTCTCAGCGCACTACTGTGTTGCTCATAGAAATACCGGAGACTGGGTGATTTATTTAAAAAACAAAGAAATTAGAGACCAGCAGTTAGCATAATGGCTATGTCGCTGGACTCTCGCGTAGTCGACCGCAGTTCAAGTCCTGGACCCGGAGGCTTAAACTCACACCGGGCGTGTGTGTGTGCATGCCCAAGATCCCGAGAGGAGAATGGAGAAGGGATTGCGGCGTGGCCATCCCTCCGGGGGGGTGATTTCTCACTTTCTGTCTCTTTGTCTCTTTCTGGTGAGCGCACACATCCTATAGCAAAAACCTCTCAAAAAAAAAAAAAAGAAAGAAAGAAATTAAGTGTGTGTGTGTGTGTGTGTGTGTATGTATAGATACACACACACACTTACATATACATATGGATATTAAAGTTTACTTGACTTATGGTTCTGGTGGCTGGAAAGTCCAAAGATGTGGGCTGGCAACACAACATGACCGGAAGAGGCAGAGAGGTTGGCAGGCATGCGCAGAGTCAGAGACCTGGGACAGCCATTTTCTTTTTACAGCAACCTGTTCTCTTGAGAACTAACCCCTTCTCATGGAAGTTAAGTCACTTGGTCTTGTACAAGACAGCATTAATCAATCCATGAGAGCTATGCCTCCATGATCCAGTCACCACCCACTAGGCATCCCTTTTTAACATTCTCACAACCTCCCACAACTCTTACACTGGGGACCAAATTCCCAAACACGAACCTTTGGGGGACAATCCAGTATTCAAACCATAGCACTAAGCTTATCATCACCTCCTGAGGGTGCACTCTGGGAAACCAGTTTGGTGGGCCCTTTACACTGAACTGAGACAGCAGACGGATGTACACGGCCCCTGGCATAGCCTCCCACATATAGGACGGGCTTAATAACAACAGGTCTCGCCTGGGTGAGAGGCACAGACTTAGGAGATAGTTCTCTGCAAGAGAGAAAGATTGCTCTGAGGAGGACGGGAGGAGGATGAGACTAGCTGCAGGGAGATCAACATGTGAAGGTCAGAGGTCCAGAAGGATCCCTGGAGGCAGAGGTCGGCAAAGGAGTATGCTCTGGGCATGCTCTGTACAAGTGTATAAGGTCTCCCTGGTCCTAGGGGAGCTGGGGGCTGGAGGTGTCTGATGTAGTCAGTAACCAGGGCCTCACCAATGGCGCTGGGCAGCCCCAACTCCTGCCTGACCTCACCATCCCTCCCATCTGCAGGCCTCCCTGGAGCAGCTCCTGCAGGTCCTGCACAGCACCACGCCCCACTACATTCGTTGCATCAAACCTAACAGCCAAGGGCAAGCACAGACTTTCCTCCAGGAAGAGGTAATCAACACTGGGCCAAGGCTGTAAGCGCCATCTGACCAAAGCCCCACAGGTCAGGGCATGCTCCAGGTGGAGGGACCAGAGCGGGGCTCTCAGGCTGGGCCTGACATTAGGGAGGGCTTCTCTCCCCTAAAATGACAGGGCAGTTGTGTGATCTGTGCAATGCCTGGAGACCTAGCCAAGGAGGGGAACAGGCTCCTACGTGTCCTGTTCTCCACTCACCAAACCATGTACCTTAAGGAGAGACTGAAACACCCAGATAATGGGGATCTTTTGAGAATAGCTGAAAGTCTGTGTCACCTTACAGTCTGTGCACAATGTGGCTAATTCTGACTGGAGGTACTGTTTTTTGTAATTTGTGATTTGTATTGTTTTGTTTAGTAATTTGCACAAAAGCAATCTGTGGCCAGCAGCTGCCCTTTACTCAGGGATCAGACTCTGAGGGATGTGGATGAGGTACGAGTCTGGACAGCGCTGAAGTGTCCCACAGTCACCTGGTAGACATAGCTTGGGTTTGTAGCCAGGATAACTTGGCTGGATGGTATATATCCACAGCTCTGAACCACTTCTGCTGCAAAGAATAAAAACAAAACTAGAAATTCATTTGGGCTGCACTGGGAAGCAGTGAGTCTGCACAGAGAAAGTGAAGAGATGGCCAAAAATACATCCCTTGCCTGGCCATGTCGGAAGTTGTGCATCACATAAGGGGGGCTTGGGACCAGGACCTGTTCTAGAAGGGGGATTTTTCCCCAAAGGTCCCTTGATATCTTACTGTCCAAACAATATACCCCATCAGCCAAGCCTCAGGAGAACCTACAGCTCCCCCTGACTAGGGCTGAGAAGAAAGTCAAGAGGAATGGCTCGTCTGGCCTGGGGGCTCTAGACTGCCTGTCTGCCCACCCTTGCAGGTCCTCAGCCAGCTGGAGGCCTGTGGCCTCGTGGAGACCATTCACATCAGTGCTGCTGGCTTCCCCATCCGGTGAGTGAGTCTGGTCACTGCAGGGGGCAAGGCCTAAGCCAGGCTGGAACCTAGGACTTGGGCCAGACAAGAGCCTGCCAACCCAGAGCAGGACCTGGAGATGAAGAGAAAGGCGGGTCCGTGAGTCACCTGGAACTGAAGGCACATGCCCCTTCATTTGTCCCTTCACTTACTGTGCACTGGTCTATACCCAGCACTGTGTCTGGCAACCTATCAGTGAGTAAGGAAGGTGACCTGCCCTATTGGGGCAAACTTTCCTGTAGAAACAAGAAAAATAGGTAAAAAGTGTCATCAGTGCTAGGGAAGAAATAATGCCACTAGACAGACTAACAGGAAGAGGCCCACCTATAAGATTTGGAGGGGACAGCAGTCCAGACCAGGAAGTGACAAGAGCCACAACAGTGTAGCACTGGGGACATAAGCCAGACTTGGGAAGACTGCAGACCGCAACTGGGAGGAGGAAGTGCAGGCACTGTTTAGAGACATGCTACTGTGACGTAGGGGAGGCAGTAGGATCAGAAGTCAGGTGGGAGCCATGGCCAAGCTGGTGTGGCAGGAGTGCAGGAGACAGGCTGCAGAGTGTAGCAGACCAAGGCAGCAGGGAGAGCTGACTCAACTCAAGATGGTCCCCATGGGCTTCCCACTGTGTGTTGGGCTGTCCAGCGGGTCATGGCAGTGCAGGGCTGGGCTGTTCGCACGTTACGTAAGTCCTGCTGAGCCCAGAGCATGTGCTTGTTCACAAATGAGCTCATTCTTCTGCCTGCTTTGTCTCCAGGGTCTCTCACCAAAACTTTGTGGAACGGTACAAGTTACTCAGAAGGTTCCACTCTCGCACATCCCCTGGCACCCACGACCCACATCCTGCCACGGGGCGCTCTGGTGAGTGCACTCAGTTTACTGAGCATCTGCCCCATGCCATCTCAAGGCCAGGGGCTGTGGGTTCAGCCCTGCCCTCTGGTTCATGGTTCAGTGGTGGAAACAGACTCAGAAAAGACCAAATGTGCCACGTGTGAGGGCAGAGGGACAGGGGGTCCCGCTCGGCAGGACCCCAGCCCAGCCAGCCTTACCACGGGAGCCAGCAGACCCTGTGGAGACAACTCCGCTTTGTCTTCCTCCATTTCTGGGCAGTTCTGCCACTTCCCTTTCACCCTTTCTGCTTTCTATCTCCTCTCTGCTCTGCTGTCCTGCTCTGGGTCTCTTGCTCTGGCCCTGTTGATCTGGCTGCTGCTTCTCATCTCCGGCACCTCCCTGGCCGCCTCTGTCTCCAGAGAGAGGACCTGAGCAACTCAGGGTGGTCCAAGCCCTCAGGTAAACCCTCCCTTGACAGAGCCTACCCTGCTAGATATGGAGGGCAGGCAAGGGGACCTGATGGGCCTTCCCAGGGCTGGGTGTGCCCCCCTTTCCCAATGTGGCGGAGAGTGAAGAGAACAGCCTAGGCTCCTGGGCTGGAGGAATCACTCTCCCAGGTCACAAGGACCTTTGCCAGCCTGTGCATTACCCCTGACAATGGAGGGTGTGGAACCCAGGGACCTGAGGGACAAAGGGGCTGCCCCAGGCCTCTCCTCAGGAAGGGAAGGAGGAAGAAATGGTGAGAGGCAAGAGTAGTAGGAAAGTGGCCTGCAGAGTGCGGGAGGCCAAAGCCAGTTCCTGTGGCCACAGAAGCTGGTGGAGATGACAAGCATTGATGGAGCACCTGTCTCCTGTCCCCCAGAGTGGCCTGTACACACCAAGGAGGCCATGCTGCAGCCTCTTGTCCAGGACATCCTCCACACACTGCCAGGTCTGACTCAGGCAGCAGCCACACCAGGTGACCCAGCTGGGGCCACAGCAGCCCCAGTGCACTGTGGCAGGACCAAGGTGTTCATGACTGACTCCACGGTAAGCTGGGGTGGGGCCGAGGCGGTCAGAGGAGCCAGCTGCCTGCTGTCCTCACAGGACGGGGCCTGGGCCCCTCACACAGGGGAGGAGAGGCTGAGGGCCTCAGTGGGTGTCCCTTCCCCTAGCTGGAGCTTCTGGAACGCGGGCGTGCCCAGGTGCTGGAACAGTGCGCCTGCTGCATCCAGGCTGGCTGGAGGCGACACCGACGCCGAAAGCAGGCGAGGCAGAGGTGGGCCGCCACACGCATCCAGGCAGGTAAGGGCCGGGCTGCCCGCAGTGACCATGCCCAGATACACATGATGCCATGTTCTGTGAAAAACTCCTGAGGCCAACTGTGTCCCAGCCTGGAGGTGGATAGCATGTCCCTGAGGTGTCATGGGACTCGAATTTCCTGTCCCCTCACCCAGTGTCTCCAGCTTGTGGAACCAAAGCACATCACAAATCAGGGTGCTCTGTAGGTGGGGGAGGCTAAAGCCTGCCTCTCACTTCTGGCTGCCTTTCTCAGACCTCAAAGGCTGTGCATGCCAACACTTATTCCTGTCATAAATCACAGCCTGCTGGGCTCAGGGCTCAGGATGACTTCAAGGACAAGGTACAATACAGGGTCTCCTCAGAGGAAGAGCCATGTGAGTTGGCATGACTACAGCAGAGCTATCCTGAAATTCAAGATAGTAGAAACAACCCAAGGACCAGCAGATGGTGTCATGGTTACAGCGCTGGACTTTCACATAGTCAGCTGCAGTTCGAGTCTCAGACCTGGTGGCTTAAGACACACCAGGCACATGTGTGTGCATGTGCTCAAAATCCCTAGAGGACTGAGGTCATTCCCTCTGGGGTGATTTCTGGCTTCTGTCTCTCTGGTGAGTACATGTGCCCTATAGCAAAAATCTTTCTTAAGAAAAAAAAATTTTATAAAATAAGAAACAACTGTAATAGCTAAAATATGGACCATCCCCATATTGCAGTAAGTATTTTTGAAAAATATTATAAAGTTGAAGGAAAACCATTTTAATATAATATTTGAACATGGAGGCCAACTACTTATCATGAGTGATGCCACCTTTGTATGTTCCCGTGTATACAAGCATCAAAGGTGTAAACAAATGCCATCAAATCATCTGTGTAGGTTAAGTAACAGGTGTCTTTTAAAAAATAATTGTTTATTTATAGGGACCAGCAGTTAGCATAATGGCTATGTCGCTGAACTCCCATGTAGCTGACTGCGGTTCAAGTCCCGGACCCAGTGGCTTCAACTCACACCAGGCGCTTGTGCGTGAGTGCCCAAGATCCTAAGAGGAGAATGGAGAAGAGATTGTGTCGTGGCCATCCCCCTGGGGGGTGATTTCTTGCTTTCTATCTCTCTCTATCTGTCTTTCTGGCAAGTGCACGCACCCTATAGCAAAAACCTCTCCAAAAATAATAATAATGTTTATTTATTTAATTATTACTTTTTTAATTCAACCAGAGAAAGACAGAGAGAGAGGGAGAGCAAGAAAGCAAGACACCAGGTCCGGGACTCGAACCACAGTCGGCCACATGGGAATCCGGCACCCTAAACCACCATGCCACCTGCTAGCCCCAAGTAACAGGTGATTTTTGTCTTCAAAGTTTTTGATTTTCTAGACTCTAAATGTATTGGTAGTTACAGAATAGCTTTTAGTTTGCTATAGGATGCATGTACTCACCAGAGAGAAAGCAAGAAACCACCCCCCCCCCAGGGT